TCCTACTCCGGAGGAGTAGAGAGGCTGTTTCCGATAGACCCTCGGCTCACGACGATGGTAAAGGACAGTGGAGCTCTAACATAAATAGAAGTCAGAAAGATAACACCAACAACGTGATAACCAGACAACAAAAAGAAAATCACTAACAATAAGCAGTAACAATGGCATAGTACTATAGACATAATGGAAGTAATAAGGATACAACAAGAGTCACTAGCATCCTATGACAAAACACTATCAAACTAGCCTCCTACAACCTAACCTGCAACCCTAATGAAGTAAGATGGACACAACAGGAGCTACTAGCGGCGTAAGACAGGACACTATCAGACTAGCCTCCTACCTCCTAACCTACAACCGTAATGCTCGACCTCCACAGCTTTCTATCAAGAGCCATATTCTCGGGAATCTTAAGTCGCACCATATACTACCTGATCACCTCTCCCCAATACTTCTTAAGCCGCTCATGGTACAAAACTAGCTTTCAGATATTCCATCAACAACACCTATTCCACCAGTTATACAAATATCATCTATTCTATCATCCTCTGTCCTTCAAAACTTGTGGCATTAGACGGTTCCTTTCTCCAAATGTACACTGTTGCTCATAATTCCAGCGAGGTAATAAAATTACCAGAAAATCATCCAAATATCAACACAGACCATTATGATCTTTGAACAACGGCAGGGTATTAAAAAGACAATCTCATATCCTAGGTTTCATCTATCAATATTAAAGTACAATCAGGATCACAGTTTACTCAACCGGCAGATGCAGGGGAAGATATATTACTAAGCCTAATGTAAACAAGCAACTTTGGTTTAACAGTAAGTATAAAAAATTAGTATCAGCATAGCAATAAGAATGACAATAGATACAAGCTCTTACCAATATCAAATCTAAACATCCAAGCACAATTCATCAATTAGAAGAAATAACAGAACTTCTAATGTATTCATTACAAAAACTTTGTAAGTATCAAATATATGAGGCAACCACACCAGGTGAAAAAAAATACCACACATACACTCATAAATCATTTCCGCTTATATGCCTGACATCATCCTCACTATTTTCATCTTCATCAGTGTCAGAGGGAGGTGAAGGGTCAAGCCTAGCAGCATCAATGGCCCACTTAATCACCTTCTCAACTTCATCGTCATCCTCTTCATTCTCCGAAGAATAAGCGGGAAGGGAGCTTTTGAGAGCTGCAAATCTGGGAAACAAGTTAACATCGGAAGCTGTAGAGGTTGAACGTGGTTGTTGGGGAATAGGGTTTTTGGTTTTGGATTTGAGGGCACGGAAACGTTGATCGAGATCTGGATCGATGAATTGGGTGGAAGAAGAACCACGAGCCATATGGGAATTGAGGCTGAGCTTGAGGAACACATCATCCTCTGCCGCGCGCAGCAGCTCTTCAACCTCGTCGTCTTCCGTCTTCTTCTTCCTCCTGTTGTTGTCGATACCTCTGCTCATTCTCTTCCTCTTGATGACACGGTACCACACTTGGCCAATTCAAACTTCAAACACAATAGACTCGAAATTAGGCTGTATCTGGTTGAAATTTAAAATTACAAGTTCAAGTTGTAAAAATAGTTCTAATGTAGTATTTGGTTCTAATTGTGTTTGGATATGATTTTCCTTAAAAAACACAGTTAGATATCTATAAATAAAAATTCTTATTTTGTTATAAATATATTATATTAAGGATGTTCATTTAGTACCCCGTTGTAAATAAGCTTCCTGAAGAACCTTATCTATATGAGACTCCGCCGTAAATATGTTTATATATTTAGTACTCTATTGAAAATAAGCCTCCCGAAGAAGCTTATCCTTTCAGTAGTCTGTTATGGATAAACATCACCCCGGTAGAAGATTATCTATATCTGGTACAATGAGCTTATCATTTCGGTACTCCGTTATGGATAAACATTACCCCCGGTAGAAGATTATCTATATCTGGTACAATAGCAGTTTAAGCTTGCAGAAGCAGCTTACACAGCAGCTTGCAGAAGCAGCTTACACAACATCTTCCTTTCTTCTATAAATA